AGCCAGTGGAAGAACTTCACCTTGGGCGGTGCCCAGCTCCTCCAGATGAGCTTCCAGGAGTGGCAGCCCGTCGCACCCTGGAAAGTTGCCCGGTAGCAAGACTGGGCGGTGTAGACGCCGTTGGCTGTCCGGCTCCAGAGCAGCCTGTCTGGCTCATTGGACAGCTCGACATGCTGCACTAAGTGCCAGAGCTGAAGGTACTGTCCAATCTCTGGGAGGCCTAGCAGGCCATGGATGTCACGCGCCCAGCTATTGCCAGCCAGGGCCTCCGCCACCGTTCTCGATTTTTGGCGTTGCTTGGGGATGCACTTGAGGAGCCTGGGCGCGAGCTCGCGGACAGATTGGCCGCCAAGCCAGCGATCCTCCCAGAACAGGGTTGTCCTGCCGTCTCCAATGGCCATGGTCGTGGAGGCATAAAAGAGTGCGCGCTCCTCCGTCGTAAATTGCAGGTCCAGCCCCTGCCAAGCTCGATTTGTGTCCATGCGCGTGAGCCATACCCAGCGCAGCCGAAGCGATAGCCCCGTGCGCTCGAGGTCCCGGATGCCAAGGCCGCCATATTCAAGCGGGCGGCAAACCCTGCGCCAGTTGACGTGGCAATGTCCACCGTCGGCGTCCGCGCGGCCGGCCCAAAGAAACCCGCGCTGAATCTTCTCTAATTGCTTCAGGGTTTTCTTTGGGGGCGCAAGCGCTAGCAGTTGATGGATCGGTATTGCATTAAGCACCGATTTGACGAGCGCTAGCCGTCCCGCTTTGTTCTTGGTTCAATATTAATATATTAAATCTTCAATATGTTCCAAAATATATCAACATCACAAACCTTAATCAAGGAAACCCCAGGTCAGATAGGTGAGGATGGCTTACCACGCTTTATCCCAAGGTAATCAGCGTCAAGTTAGTTTCATAATGCTCTTCATCATTGTCGCCACCTAGGCCTCATCCGCCTCCGCCGTTGTCAACCCCCTCAACGAGTCAATGCCATCCACTTGATCGACACGAGATGTATCGTGTCATTAGGCTCTTCGTCACCGCCAATGTGCCCTCCTCCTCCACCGTTGTCGGCCACCTTGACATGATCGATCCCTGCATGCCACTCTCCATTGGAAAACAAAAGGGCGTGGTCGAAACTCGTGCTCCTAATCTTACTAGGTCTTCATTGAAAAAAACTACGGCGCACATGTACCCACAAAAAAAGATATTGCGCGCATGCAATGGTTATGGGTCCAATGCTAAGTCAACACGCCACGCCGGTGTCAATATATATGCCTCACTAAATTTTATATAGTCAAATCTAACAATAAGTAAAAGCAATTCCTTTGTTATTTTTTTACACATATAGAAAATAAGTTATGCATACACAATGTATATGTATTTTTAGAAAGTGTTCACATAATTATTTATGATGTTCCTATATTTTAAAAAGCACTCACACTTTCCCCCAAAATGCTCAACAACAACAACAACAAAGCCTTTAGTCCCAAACAAGTTGGGGTAGGCTAAAGCTCAAACACATAAGGTCTCGCAAGAAGCCCATTGTTCTGGCATATGGATAGCTACATTCCACGCACCCCATAGTTCTTTGGTGATACCCCCCCC